AAGGATGGTGACCAAGAGGCACAAAGAGGGGACGTAGCCGCCCAAGGTCACACAACAGGTAAAGGGCAAAATTTGGATTTGAACCCAGATTGACCTGTCCCCAAAACCACATGTCTAAATCAATCATTTGGAAGGCAGCCCAGTAACTGATTTTCATTTTGAAACTTCAAATAATGATTTTTTTTTATTGCGGTAAGTATATATGTAACAAAACATTTGCCATTTCAACATTCTTCACATGTACAATTCAGTGATATTTTGTTCATCATGCTGTGCAACCATCACCATTATCTGTTTCCAAATTTTTGGAAATGAGTCTCCCACCTCTCCCTGCCTCCCAGCCCACTCCTGGTGTCTTAGTCATCTCGTGCTGCTATAACAGAAATACCACAAGTGGATGGCTTTAACAAAAAGAAATTTTTTTTTCTCATAGTCTAGTAGGCTACAAGTCCAAATTCAGGGCATCAGCTCCAGGAGAAGGATTTCCGTCTCTGTCGGCTCTGGAGGAAGGTCCTTGTGATGCATCCGTCTTCCCTTGGTCTTGGAGCATCTAAACACAGGAACCTCAGGTCCAAAGGACATGCTCTGCTCCTGGTACTGCTTTCTTGTGGTATTTCTGTTATAGCAGCATTAGATGACTGGTCTCACCTGGTAATCACTAATAAACTTAGGTCTATGTACACTTACCTATTCTAGATATTTCATTAAGTGGGACTGCACAATGTCTCTCCTTTTGTGACTGATTTAATTTACTCAGCATGATGTTTTCACGGTTCATCCATGTTGTAACATGTATATGGATCTCATTCCTTTTAATGGCTAAATAATATTCCATTGTATGGATATAGCACATTTTGTTTATCCATTCATCTATTTTTTTTGGTGTTAGGGGTGCTGGCCATTAGGCGTGGGGCAGAATTGGGGTGGCGGTGAGCTCTTTCGCCGGGTGGCATTGCACAGCCAGTCAGGAAGGGGAAGAGGCAGTGCAGGGCCTAGGTAGGAGGGAGAAGGAAAAGGAGAAGGGGAAAGGTAAAGAAAAATAAAAAATATGGCACTGAGGGAGCTGGCCCTGCGGGCAGTGCAGACCTGGAAAGGCTGTGTGCCAGAAGCCCTCCAGCCAAGTGGTACAGAATAGCCCACCAAGAAGCTGGGGGCAGTGCACAGGGCTAGGTGGATGGGAGAAAGGAAAGGAAGGAAAGGAGAGAGAGAGAAGAAACAATAACAACAACAAAAAGAAATAAAAATAAACAATAAATAAAATGGGGCTGAAGGAACCAGTGGGTGAAGAGTGCTGTAGGCCAGGGAAGGCCGTGTGCAGTGAGTCTCCAACTAACCTGTGCAGCACAGCCCCTCCAGAAGG